TTGTTTGTGTTCAAAGGCCTGTGGCCATGAGGGGGCGGCCGCCTACAAAAAATCCAAACATCGAAAGATGTGTCCCAAACCCAAATTGCCCAAATATCAAACTTGTGCTGCCCTGACAGTCCCAAGTGCACCTTGCAAATTGACACCAGGAAACTGGGCTGGCAGATTTTGTTTCCCAGGGAAAAGGGTGGCTATTTGTGTTCAGAAGGCTGTGGCCCTGAGGGGGTAAATGGTTTATTGTAAACATCTGACTACCAGATAAATGGGAGAATATAATGATCTAAAGGTAATATCAAACAACTTCCCGTAAGCCAGCAGCAGTGTCTAACGAGTCTGTGTTGTCAGTCATCTCACATGATCATTCTGAGACATGTTAAAAGCATGACAAAGCAAAAAGAAACAAAAATCACATGCAGTCAACATTCTTAGAAAGCAAGTACCCTTTTCTGCTAACCAGTGTGGTAAAGAATATTAGGTAACAAGCCTAGAATTGGGATATTTCCCTAGCATCACTAGAATTTTGTTTGCTTATAACTGGGTTTATTTTGGTCCCCTGGTATGTAACATACACGGATTAACTGCAAATGGAGAACTTACTGCTGCATTGCACACATAAAAACTAATTCAGGAGTTTATATTCAGCAAAAGAATTTACAGTGAATGGTGAATCTTTTCAGCCTCTACAATGAATAAATTTTGCTATATCAACGTGTTCAGCATGCTCTTAATTTTTTCTGAAAAGGTTAGTCACAAAGAAGTACTGAATGCGCTGGTTTAGATTTATTTTTTCCCCTGCATTTACAAACAAAAGTTAGGTCAATTAGAAGCAATCTAGCAGGGGGACTGATACTGGATTCTTCCTGCAAAATGTATTTCACACACATGAAATGAGCACTTCTGTTTATACAAACAACAGAAACATTTTCCCACCAGACTGGAAGATCACAAAGATGGAACAGTAAAAAAAACCAATAAATTGGAATTTATTTTTTGCTCTTCAGCACTATCCATCACTCTTTCTCAGGGAACCTTACAGTTTAATACTGATGTTTGACCCACTCTCTACCCTCTCAGTGGGCATTTGTATTCTATTAACATTGGTTTTCCAGGTGATTATTTATGCACCCTAGAATACACATTTCCTCCTTGACTTATTTTTCATGTACCCTTTGAGCTCAGAAGTATATGCACATAAAGTTAGGCCCAACACAACTGAGCGCTTTGGCCCCCTCAAATTAATTTATTGTCCTGTCAACAAAATGAACAATGAGAAAATATATATTCACTCAGGAAGTATGTCATGAGTGCTGAATGTACCTATGTACCTACTCATAATTATTGTATGAATAGACTTAAGAGCTAATCTTTGTATTCCCTTGTTTTTATTTACTTTTCAAGTTTCTCTTCCACTACGATTAAAATATTCACCCTATGAATTCCTGATAAAAAACAGATGAGGGCAAATGTCTGTCTAAGTACTGTTACACATTAACCTTGCCATAATCTTACATCTCACTGATTTTTGTGGACCTGCATACACCATTCACACCAAAAGATCTTCACTCGGTCATTTTTTCAGCTGAGCAGGGCTTCGTCTCTTCCTCCCTTGCCAGCCTTAGGGTTAACCACACAACTGTACTGTGCCGCTGCATTTTTTGGGTCTGAATCTTGCAACAATTCAGAGGCAAAAGCGGAGCAGCAGTTTCCATTACAAAAAAAAAAAAAAAAAAAAAAACAAACAAAACCAAAAACTTCACACATTTAACCACACTGAAATCAATTTAGTCCCGTGGCAGCCCTGAGGTGACGAACACGTGTCACCAGTGCAGGTGCTTGAAGAACTCAGCCACTCTTCACTCCCCTCTTCAGCTGGACTCAACATTCCCTCCAACCCTCCTTTTTCTGGATTCACAGTTCCCCCCTATTTCTCTCCCTCCCTCCCCCAACAGGGCAAAGAATAGGGAATGTGTGTTGTAGTTGGTTCATCACAGTTCTTTTTTTAACTGCAGCTATCAGAAAATACTAAATAACCTTGAAATTTTTTTTTCATGAAAATCATCAAAGAGGCTCTATTTATTTGTGTTTTATAGACAATTTTGCCATTAACTTTGGACTGCAGATCTAAATTAAATTATTTTCAAAAATCCCTGGATTTTTCAGTGTCACATGTTTTTTTAAAAGATTTCAGGAAAAGCAAGTTATTTACTTTAAGAGTCCAAACAGCTCTGTCTTTACATCTTGTTTTATATCTCCCTGTAGCTTTAGACTCTAATGAGTCTGTTCTTCATACTTACAGTTTTTCTTCTCTGTAGAGTCTAGGAAAACTGAACATAAATCACCAGTGGATTTCTTCTACTGACCTACCAAAAAAAAAAAAAAAAAAAAAAAAAAAAAAAAAAAAGTCAGCTCTTTGTTAGAGCAAACATAAAAAAAAAAAAAAAAAAAAAAAAAAAAAAAAAAANCAGAACACTGCCCTGTGCACCACTCCCGTTGTAGTGAAAGAATTCACATGAACAAAACAAACTGCAACCTGCTGAGACCTCCAGAGGGAAATTATGGGGCAGGGGGTTGGATGGTTGGGAGCACCCAGGTGCAAGGCAGAAGATGAGCTGGCACACACCTGCAGCCTGTTCATTGCATCCGATTTCTGCCATCAAACCCCACCACTCCAATAAAGATTTGTAGGGAATGGCTGTGTTTATTCACATGTGAGGACTCATTGCCCTTCAATGGACATGGGCACCTCTGAGAATTCCCGATCCTTTTTTATTACCCTTACTAATTTCCATATACATAGAATTTCACAATAGATTAATGCATATTCATTCTGCTGATTTCACATTGCACTTACAGCTGGTTACACTTGTACTTAGTTTTTGTCAGAAAGTACAGAAAGAACTCCTGGGTCACTCTGTGCTGTTTCAAGGTCCGAGGAGTCTTTCTTATCTTTTAGTGTGGAAATTTGCATTCTTTCTCCTTAGCTGGGGTAGTTTTGCTAGGGCTGCAGTTACCAGAATAAACAACATATTTAGCAAGCTCAGAGCAGCACATTTCACCTAAATCCAAATGGATTTCTACCCTGTTAAATCTTCCCTCTGTCTCACCACCAACCCACCCCACCTCCCGCTGGCCCTCCCAGGAGATGCTGCAGTGTGCCTGAGAAGGTCTTGCAGTGTGAGGGAACTGGAGAGAGATAATCAAATGAATGACTTTAACTAATATCTGTTTTTCTGTCCATGTTTAACTGTGTTCTTCAGGTATTACTTTTATAATCCTGGGAGTTTCAGAGTGCACAATGACTGGAGTTTGTTTCTTGAGTAATGTCACAACAGATATAATCTAAAAATGTGATAACTTAGAAAAAGTTAGAAACTTGGAAACCTTTGAAAACTAGTGGATAAAGTAGGTAATATATAAATATTTATAAAGCTTGTCTATTATGTGCACCAAAAAAAAAACCCACAAAAAAACCCAAAAAAACAACCCAAAACCAACCAACCAACCAAAAAAACCTCAAAACAACAGCCTACAGTTCTCCACTTTTTTTTTTTTTATTTCACATAATGAGCACAAAATGGCAAGTTGTCAGGAATAACCTCAGAAGAGAAGTAAAAGTAAGTGACCTAAGCACTCTTGTGCAAACTGTTTTTTTTCATCAGGTAAACTTCTGAAACTCTAATTACTCAATTACTTCCTTCCGGCTGTACAGGGCTGTACTGCTAATCTTAATAGGGTGATGCAACCCCTTATTTGTGTTTCTAATTATCCCATCCTAAGAAAGAGAAATAGGAAATGTTAGCCCACAGACCTTAGAATTTTTTCTAAGTTTCTGATGAGTACAGATGCACAAGATTAATTTAATCTTTAAGTACTTAAAGATAAATATGTATATCCAATTTGCTATCCTAATGTGAGAGAGAGAACCTTATCTTTTCGTGTGTGTGTCCCCCCTCCTTCCCCCCAACAAAGGCTTTTTTTTCTCTTTTAGCTCTCTGGGGTCACTGTATTTGTCTTCAAAGTTTGTGATTAAGGCTGCTTCCAGGGAAAAAGGCTCAAGGAGGATTGAGATTTTTTAATCTTTGCAGATACATAGCTGCTTGCCATTAGTGTGCTTTTAGTGGTTGAGACTGTTATTTTGTGCTACTCATGAAAGCTCAGTT